TCAATTGTGGTTGTAAGATGAGGATTACCTCTAGTAATAAAGTCTTCATTTGCTTGTCTCCTAGGACAGAGGTCCCCAACCTTTTGGGCACCAGGGACCGGTTACCTGGAGAAAGGTTTTTCCACGGACCAGAGGGGGTGTGTTTTTGTGTGCTGCCTCCATCCCACAGATGGGGCTTTGCTTGTTTGTGCGGGCTGATTGCTGGCATGCCACGGCACGGTACTGGTCCATGGACCGGAGGTTGGGGACCCCTGTCCTAGGAAATGTTTTTTTCTAAACAGTGTCCTGAGTGAGGTCCAATAAAGCAATTTTTTTCAGGAGGTTTTTTTTTCCCAGCATCTATTTCTACAGCTTTGAAATGTCTTCAATTTCATTTTCATCCTCTGTGTAATTAATTCAGTATGCCACTATAGCACCTAATATTTCCTCAACTCTTCTGGAAAGGCTCTACAACAATGTTATTCTATTACTACTTTCACTGCTTTCAGTGAATTAGCTCTAAAATATGAGATGCATTCCAAGAGCTTGCACTGTCTTCTCTCTCCTTCATCCTATTTGCTTTGGTAGCACAGAATATATTATAGAAATTATTAGAGCCATGTAGTCTAAATAACATTTTTAGAAATGTTCACCATTAGGCTGAATTACTGAGTATTACATTAAACAGATTCATCTATAATTGATTTGGTGTCACATCAAGATATCATGTTTTCAAGAATACAGAGTCCAACCAACTTCTTCTAACATGAATATATGGTAAATTTTGCTTCTTGAAATGATTTTGCTGACAATTATATTTAACTAAAGTCTTGTGCATAGATCCATGAACACCAACTGACAGTTTATGACTGGGGCCAATTCATAATTTAGAATAAGTATAAAGCAAACTTTCACTGAGCTATTGATTTATTGAGTTTTGCACAATGAGTTTTATTCTGTTTAATTCCTCTAACTTCACTGCAGTTTCCTTTAGTGAAATGAAATCCTAAACACAATATTATATTTATATTGCTTGGATACATATTACTTTCCCTCATGTCTTTCATTTCACTGTCATGAATTTTCAACTTTTGGAATGAGATTAATCTTTAAGTTGCAGTCATGTGAAACTCTTTACATCTGGAAGTAGTGGTAACTAATATACAAACTGCATGTACAGTATATTGATACGGAATCTGCACATTTTATTATTGTTCAAAATGTCTTGTATTGCCCAGTCAGTTCATTCATATTTGAACTATGATAGGTTCTGTTGCATAATATGCCATTATATTTATGCTATCAGTATTGTGAGTAGCAATCACCAGCAAATTAGAAATTATATATTAGTTAGCTTAGTGACCCACTCAAATTCAAAATGCTTTCAAAAGTCAAGAAAAAAACTCAGTGGAAAGTTAGCTATAAGCTATTTTTAAGTATGTGTGACTCAGCGGATTCAGGTAACTTATTCTATGTGAAATTCAAAACTGAAAAGGAAAACTTGAAGAAAGTTTATACAGGTCTGAAATCCTATATGTTTGTGTGACATTTGTCTCTAGAAACCCAAGCCATAAGTTAAGCTTAGAATACCACTGGTTTTTCAGTATTTTGTAACAATACCGTTTTGAACAAAGAAAAATAAAAAAAAAACAGTGCCCAAACTCCTGCATAGTTTGTGATCTAGTGCTGACTGGAGTTTGCTAGACTATAAATATCTCAACAGGATTCATCTTAAGCAACAAAAACAGGTGATAAACAACATTTGTAAGGTACACCAAAGCCCAAAATATAAAAATGATGGGTGTGCACTCTTATGGATGCACTAGACAAAAAATCACATTTTCTGGTATCCAAGAAGTGATGAAACGTATCAGGCATACCATAATATCAAATAATTTTTTGTTATACCTCATCTGTCAAGCTATGAAGATTGCTTATGTTAGAACTGCCCTGCTGCTTCTAGCTTGCCTACAGTTGTGAGGGAGGAGGGAAAGGTTTTGAATGCACAGATGGATTCTATCCGATGGGAACCAAGGTCATCAGAGAGAAGTTGTGGCGAACAGAGACATTCTTCTCATAACAACTGCCTTAGGATTAATTGGACAATGTGACCTGACCTGTGTCTGAGAGGGGAGGGAAAGTTTTACTCTTTTAATTATCTTTTTCCTGCCATATTGCCAGAGCTGGTTTTCAATTCAATAGTGTCAGTATGCTGTCTCTCCAATAAAGTTTTGCATTAGAGATCTAAATGGCTCTGGTGTATTTACTTTGTTGGAATCCTTAGCTGGAACCTTAACATCATCATGTCTAGATTATAGATAATTTAGAATCATTTGATTCATTCTAATGAATGTGTGTGGTGTTTATGTGGGTGTGTGTACTTTCCATATTTAGGGAGATATTTTCATTTTTGGGTTTCTTATTTATTATGAGATAGTAATATTCATCACAATTTTGTGTATTATCTCACTGTGGCTCAAAATGAGAATGTAAAATCTTTCAAATCAGGACAAAGTATTTGATTGGCAATGTACAATCATGAAAATTCTGCCTTCTTTACAATATTTTTTTTCAATTTTTCAAACCCCATATGGAAGCTTCATTTTTGCAATAAATCTATTTATTTGTTTGTTTAAAGAACAATGATTCTTATTCCAACAAGCATACTATTCTTTTTTTACCCCCTGGCTCTAGAAATCTCTTCTGAGTCTTGCCAGAATGTATTTTTTCATTATCTCTTAAGTGAACCTTCATTAGATTTTGTAGGCAAACCTGCTTTTGAACACCCAAGAAAGAAGTGTTGCTTTGGTTTTAACTACTTTTTTCTTCACTCCAATTTTCAATGGTTACAATATAGTGAAGCCATGTAGTATCCCCTTTTTGATTCGGATGTATATGCCAAAGAAGTCCATATTCTTCCATGTGTGGGGACAGTTTATAAAGAAAGGGGGGAGGGGAATCTCTCTTTTGCTACCCCATGCCTTTATTTCAGTTTTCAATCTATTTTTCACCTGATCTTTTTTTTTTTTTTTTGAAGCCAAGTAACCAATTTATTCTCCGCAGTCAGCAGGAGAGCATCTACTGAGAGCCATAAAATGCTGTATATCTGCAGGCATGTGGGGAAGACAAGAAAATGCCATATCATTTCTGATTATTTCACTAAAAAAATGAAAGCCAAAATTTTTACAATTGTTAACCAGTGAACTCGATAGAAATTAACTATATGAAAAAAGTAAAATTTTGCATCTTCATATTTACATACTGAAGAATGACATTTCAGAGAGCAAGACAGGGCAGGTTCCTAAGGGTAAAATAGCCAGTTATATTATTCTATCAGACTAATAGCAGAGCAATTACTTTAGTTCCATTCAGAAAAAACAACTCGGTGTATCCTCAAAGAACAGATTCGTTATTATGGACTTAAAATAGACTGAACGGATAACATAGTCAGATCTATTTAGTGTGTGATAATATACTATCAGGAAATAGAAAAGCCGTAGAATACACTGGAAAACTGGGGGGAAAGTCCTAGAACAAAGAGGTAGCAATGGACACCATTTCCATATAGTTACGAAGAAAACATTATTGTCATCATTTTCTAAGGAATCAGGAGTTGAGTATGACTTAGACATTTTACTGCTTTAATGAAGAAGATTCCAATGTACAAAAGTGCCAGAATAAATTTGTTATTCTTTAAAATGACCCAATCTTTCTATCTTAAATGTTGAATTAGAAAGAAAAAGGTGAAAATTAGGTACCTTTTATTTGGTAATTCAATAATGTAAAATGCACTTGTAATAATCACAGATTACTTTATGCAAAGATTTTCAAAAAAAAATGAAGAAGGAAAAAGTGGTTTGAGAATTTCAACTCAGCTTATTAAAGGAGACAGGCCCAATCAATTTTAATAATTCCAACTTCCAACTATGTTCTTAAATGACAGGTGTATAACACAGAGAAAATCAGCATTTACTTTAATAAGTAAACTAACTAATAAAAATATATAATTAAAGCACTAACATACGCCAGTAGTAAGTGAAACTTGAGGAAGTTGTTGCTTAGCACAGAAATATCTGAAATATTAAGTTTCAATGCTTGTTTAACAAAATAAATACATCTGTTCTGATTTGTCACTTACACTTTACTTAATATGGAACTTCTATATGCAGTATCCCCTAATAAATATAATTTAAAAAATACTTATATATGTAACAAAGCTTTCCAAAGTATGTATTTAACACAAATTTCTCCAAATATATGGGAAATATATTGTTATATGTATTTTCCTGTATAAGTATTTTAATTTAATTATTGGGATATAACTTTTTTTAAAAAAATTATCTAAATAGAGAATCTTTAAAATGCAAATCACTATAAATTATACTTTTAATGCAAATTTCAAGTATATACTGTTTTACATACATCTTTTGCAAACAATGGTGCTATGTGTGTACTTTTTGACTGAAGAAGGATCAATAGCATTGAATCTATTCAATGCCATGTCACAATGGATTCCATTTTATTTAAGTTTTAATGACTGCTCCCATGGAAATCCACGTTGGATTTATTTTAAATATGAATTGTACATATATTTGCAGGTGTTCCTGTTGTCATATCATCACTATATGATGTGTGCAACCAGAAATATATGAATATGCAACAATATTGTTAATATTGAATCATAAGTGCTTACATTTTAAAAATAAAATTATCATCCTGGATCTTATGATTTAGAAATATGATTGTTACACAAGAGATGATAATTAAACAAAATCTTATTTTGAATTAACAGCTCAAAAGTGATAGTGAAACTTCACTAGTTTACAATAAATTTTAAAGTAGACAGAAAATAAATATTTAACAAGAAATTCATTCTGTTGTTATTCTAAATTACCATTTTGGGGGTATGGAGAAACCGCAATGGCTTCTTCATTAAAATTCCTCAGAGATTATTACATTGATTCTGATTTTCAAATACATGAGGACATTTTAAGAAATGATATAGCTATTCAACTATTTTCTTATATTAGTGTCACATTTCTGATTTTGCCTGGATTAATTGGATAACCATTAGTTCTTGAAGGAAGTTCTCCCGTTTGAAGTTCATTGTTCAACACCTAGTAGATTAAATAGAACACATTAGGTTAACAAGATATTACTAAATATTATCTATTCACTATAAGTAATACAGTTTTAAAAATCAGAGACAGTAAATTTATAAAAACTTTGCCTATTTACTTAATAATTTGGGCCATACCAGGGGTAGGCAACCTTGGCTCTTTTAGCTGTGCTGGCTCAGGAATTCTGGGAGTTGAAATCCACGAGTCATAAAAGAGCCAAGGTTGCCTACCCCTGGGCCATACAATACCTGAATTTGGCTTGATTTGAAGTTTGAACCTATCTATTTTAGCTTAAACTTATATATGAACCAGGCCAATAAATCTAACAAATTCAGAGGAATTAATCCCAGAAACTAGACACTTATGACTGACCGTACCCTTATCTTACTGGAAACTAAATAAAAAAGTCTTTTATAACTGACTTAGCCATGACTATTGTATCTTGACCAGAGTCCAATAAATTAAATGATCAATTGTCTTTCTTTCAGAAATATGATTCCTGAAAGGCGATAATAGACTTTTCATTCTTCAATTGATTTGTTTGCCACATAAAGTGACTGTTCTATATTCATGAGTTGACTTTTAACATAGGATCTCTTGCCAAATAATTTTCAAAAGTAGTACTATAGGTTCAGTAATAAGGGGATCATGTTAGAGAGACGTGTACTCTTTTGCATGCAGAATTGTAGGCTCCTATGTTATTGCTACTGAAAAAAAGTATTAAATAAAATACTAATGAAAATAAATATCAGTCCTTGGGAAATGACCAATGGAAAATTTAGTAAGAACTGTACTTTCTCTCATCCTATCTTAAAGCTATGTTTGTATTACTTTAATTTCTTCATATACATTATATTAATCAGCTGATAGTGGATTAGTTTCACTATATTGTGGTGCCACATTTTTATTGTATTTATTTAATATATTTAATTCCATCTGTATAGGAAACAAAATGCTTCCTAAATTCACAGCGAGCTGTCCCATGGCAAGTTGGCTGTGGCAAGTTGATTGTGGCGAATTGTCATAGACCGCCCAGGGATTGAATATGAGTAAATAGAGATTTGTAGGAAACATCTTGAGAGGTTATAGGCTTCTTTATATATAGTTGTCTGATTTTTAAGGTAAGTAGGTATGAAATACCAATTTATACTTATACTTGCAAGTCATCTTTATGAACTATGTTACAATCTCAAAAAGATTATTCCACTTACCTCTGATGAAGAGCTCACATTCAGATTTTGCTTTGTATCATAAATTGTTTGTCCAACTGGGAAGGAAGTGTGATCTTCTGCAAAAAAAGAAGAGACATATAAGATAATAGTGGTAGTGAGTATCTAAAATGGCAAGAACTACAAAGGTAGTTCTTGACTTACAACAGTTCATATAGTGACTGTTCAAGTTACAACGGCACTGAAAAAAGTGACATGACTATTTTTTACACTTGCAACTATTGTAGTATCCCCATGATCATGTGATCAAAATTCAGGCACTTGGCAATTGACTCATATTTATGAAGGTCACAATGTCCTGGGATCATGTGATCATCTTTTGTGACCTTCTGACAAATTCAATGGAGAAGCCAGATTCACTTAGCAACCGTATTACAACTGTGATTAACAACTGTGGCAAGAAAGGTCTAAAATTTTAACAAATGTCTTACTTAACAACAGAAATTTTGGTCATAAGTCAAAGATTACCTCTACATTCTTTCAGACAGAAAATAAATGAGGATTTCCTAGAAACAAGGAAATAGTTTTTATGGAAAAAATAATCTGTACGTAGATTCAATTGATATTTTCTTAAAATGCTAGTAAACCAAAAAAAGTGTTCAAGTGATTCATAGCTGACAATATCATAATGCTTTGTGTGAATCAATAAAGTTGATAATATTTTGTATTTTATTATGTTTAGGGGACAAAAAAGGGGGTAACATATCTGGAAGCCATCTCATTTGTTTTCTGTGCAAGGAGCAACTGGGTGTGAAAAGATCACTATTTCTACGGAAACTTAGAAACTGGTGAAAAAGCAGTTTAACTTAAGGAACAGTATCTTTTTCAACTACTCTTCCATTTTATCTCCATCAAATGGGAAGACATGACAAGAAGCCTACATGGAACCCGAAACTAAACAAGAATAAGACAAAAGTCCAAATTTAGACATAAATCACCAATTGGAGAGCAACTCAGGATTCATAAACTAAATTTGAGTTATAGTTTCAAATAACAGTTTTGTTGCTTCAAAACCAATGATTTTTCCACAAATTGTGCACAACAAATCTTGACTTAGTATTACCGGTATATAATTACAGAAAAAACTGGGCAATCTAGCAATAGAAATTACTTAGCTTGCATCCAACCCCAATCACATATACAGAAAAATGCAAAATGTATAAACTATATAAGAATTTCTACAGGTGCTTTGTTCATACAATCCATCATCCATTCCTTTTTCAAGATGCTGGCATGTACTATCAGTTTAGCAGTCCAGATTATGTTCTAAATAAGAAAGCAAATGCAAACTTGAAACTGGCTTCAGTGCTTCTCTCTGCATAAGACTTGGATTCTGGGCCTATATCTAATTGATATATATTTTCTATTAGTTTCTTTTGCAACAATTTATTTATTTATTTATTTATTTATTTATTTATTTTGATTTATATCCCGCCCTTCTCCCAACGGGACTCAGGGCGGCTCACAACATATTTAAAAACAGAAACGTATTTACAATCCCCACCAAATAAAACCAATTAAAACCAAATATTTTAAAGTTGTACTGTTAAAATTTTTTCTTAAAAATAAACCCGATTTAAAATCCTCCCTAGGCCAGGCCCGCTTGCTGGAAAAGCCATGTCTTGAGGGCGCGGCGGAAAGTAAGGAGATCCGGAATCATCCGGATCTCGGGGGGTAGTTCGTTCCAGAGGGCGGGGGCACCCACAGAGAAGGCCCTCCCCCTGGGGGTCGCCAGCCGACACTGCTTGGCCG